CACGTGACCTCGCTGACGCAACACTACTTTAAATCTTGACAGTAGAGGATAGGAGTGATTATGTGAAAATATTTATTTCTTTTTCTTGGAAACCAGTGATTGGATAACAATTCATATGATTAGATGAAAAAGTTTGTGAATCATTATTATTCAGATATAAGTATTTGAGACGTTACTGTTTAACAAATACAGACAATCTCCACTATCTTTTACTTACCTCTGCGTAAACATTAAGTAGCTAAAGTGAGGTTGAAAGAGTACAACTAAGTTATAAGCAGAAGAACTGTGGTGATTTGAAAGCTGGGTTCGCAATAACTACAACAATATATAAGCTCTACATGAGGTTCTTGGAAGATTACTTACAACGCGATTAATAGGAAGTCTCAAATTCGTTTGCAGTTTGGTTGTTAGTGTGATATTTTCAGGTAAAACCGATTTATCATCAAGTATCAGATAGATACTTCCGCTAATAACAGCAGATTAGGTCATGAAATAAGGGGAATGTCCCGTAGTTGATAACTTTACTGAGTTTCTTCACGTGTGAAGTAATGAGACTGAACAAATGTGAATAAATAAACAAAATCTTTATTACAACAAACAAATAGAAAGCACAATGTCTGTACCTGTGCAGATGGAATCATAGTCGATTCTATTGGAGAGTGTTTAATTCCACAGATTCCTTTCCCTCGGGAATATCCTCCATAGAACTAAAACACAATGGTCCTGAAGTATATCTTCACTAGATGATCTCACTTTCTTTGTCCAGTCAAGAATACTACTTAGTGACCTTTGTTCTTTCATATCGTTGGTCAGCTGTTTCATTTGGAAAATGTCAACTCGGCTAGCAAAAAATATTATACTATACAACTTGGATGCTATATGTTACTGTAATATCCTCTCAGGCAGAATAGATGTTACCTATTATAGAGAACAAAAAAATAAACAACTAAAACAAGGCAAATTCTCGACTTTCTCGACCACGTATTGCTACCATTACAGCCTGAAAACTAAATAACAAAAAACCTATGTTACCAAATCAAGTAGAAAACGTATGATATACCTGTATATCACACTTTTCGTACCTTCTCCATTTCAGTCTAGTCTTCAAGCCAACAGTTAAATTTAGCTTTAAAAACAATAACTTTTAAATTTGCGACGTGGTAAAGGAGTACACTAACTTTACACTATTTCTGAGAACATGTACACATCACACTGACGACACAAACCTTTTAACACAGAACTACAACAAGATAAAACCCTTTGACAATAACTTCCACGAATACATTGTACAAAACACAATCTTCACTTATAATTTTAAAATGAAAAACAGTTCAAACTATATCAAAATGCTTTAATTATTTTCCAAATTTGTGAAATGTACAATGAAATAACATATAAAAATATCCCTTTGGCAAAGAATAGTAAATGATGTATCCTTTAACATTAAAAAAACAATGCCCAAGTACACACTTAAAATCACAGAAAAGTTTGTTGGATTGTTTTCTTGTTAAGCACAAAGTCACATAATGGGTTATCTGTGCTGTAGTCACAAAATGTAGTCTCTACATTTTTCTGGGCCTTACTTTCCAGTAGCTCAGAAAGCAAAGAATACTACTTCCTCTCAATCGTTGGAAATCAAACTAATGATTGCCTTAGCTTTGATTACCAGTAATCAGTTCCACCGAAATAGATTGGGAGGCTGACTTTGGTGTTTTGTCCATTAGTTGGAGCTGGAAGTTGCTTCCATTTTCAGTGAATCCTCATCTAGTTCATTGACGATCACGGTAAGTATTCCCAGTTTCTCTTATTCATCTGTTTGGTCTCCAAACCATTGCACCACGGATTCATCTGTAATGTTGACACACACATGCTTTCATGCACAAAGTATCAGCTGACACACACCACAACTAAATGCAGTCAACATATTGGAACATCTGTTCTTTTACCCTATGATCATGGCACTTTTTTGTCATTGTGTTGCCTTCCAAAGTTACCTTGTCTCATGGGTCACAGTCTTCACTCGTGGGCGTCCATTGCCTCACCTGCTGGGGATATAACTCTTAATGGCAGAAATGATCCACTAAGTAGTATTTCCAGCCTCTGTCCATTAGCTGACAATGGTCTTGACCAAAGCTGGCCTAGGAGTTCGATAGAGACTCCCCTCGTGGTTCGAACTTTCCAGGTGCCAATCCATTCTATTAAACCTCAGTTGTCCAAGATACCCTTCCATCAAGATTGATTCTCAAAGGTATGTCTGCTTGATTGGACTGGGGATGAACTAGACATGAGCAAATCTGTAACAAGTCCTGATGGCACGAATATTTCGCCATCCTATCTACTTGTAATATTTTCAGATAAAACAAATTTCCATACAGAAGATAGATAATCTCTCTAATATGAGAATATTCGGTCCAAAAATAAAGGGAGTGTTCTATAGTTGATAACTTGACTGAGTTTTATTAAGTGTGAAATAATGAGACTAGACAAATGTGAATAAATGAACAAATTTTCTATTATAACAAACAAACACAAGGCATGGTATGCATACTCGTTCATTCAAAATCACGACTGATTCTACTAGAGCGTGTTTTGCTCCACAGCTTTTTCTCTCCCTCAGTAGTAATCTCTGTAGAACTAAAACGTGGTGTTCTTGAAGTATATCTGTATACTAGTAGAATATACTATATTCATATACTAGTAGAAACAGCTTAAAAAAGTGACCCTAAATTCTCTTTCTTTGTCCGTTTTTTCCTTTGTTCTCTTTCACAGAATTGTTTGGCTGTTCCATTTGAATAACTTCAATTCAGCCAACGTAGAA